GCATTGAAAGTAATTAAAAATATAGAATATACAGTTACATATCGAAATGACTACTTTTATTACAACTGAAACCATAATTTAAATTACTGTTGAATGTTGCCTTTCAAGTTTGAACAATATACTTTAATAAATTACAAACATTTTTTTATGTAGCCAACGCTCAATCAAAACATATTATTATTACCGCATTCGAGCCGAAAAAACATGATCGGATTTCTCAGACAGACAATGCACTCAGTTTAAGATTATATTAGCTCAATTAAGCTCATTTAATCTTGTATAGAAAATTTTCCTATCTTTTTAATGTAAGTAGTATCTATCATTGTAGCCAAATGCTAACGACCTAGCAGTCTAGGCAAAACACTTAAATAAAAACAGGCACTTTTTCACATAAAGACAAACCTGAATTTGAAAAAATGTATAAAAACAGAGAATAGGTTTATTTTTTCAAATCTTACGAATTAAATTTTACTACCATTGTTCCATATCTAATTTAAAACTCATTTATTTGATTATTAAAATATAATATTGAAATAAAATATCATGAACATTTTAAATCTATTATCATATTTTGTATTTACCCGTGTTAGATTTTTTCGGTGTTGGTGAGTTGCGGCCCAATCCCTAAATCAAGTACGAGTTGTGGCCCGGGTTTAGGAGAGAGGCGTATGACTTGCGGCCACATAATAATTACCACTTTATATTAGCCTATTAGCGTTACCCAGGAGACACTACGGGGAGGTTGGCTGAGTTATCTCCCAAAAATGTGTTTTTTTACCAAGTTCAAGTTTCGTCATGTTATTTGCCGATGAGCGGTTCCGTCGTTGTCATTTTAGTTTTTTTATATTATTGAGTTGATAAAAATTCATCTGTCCTAACTAATCTAATAACTTCAAAAGTAACGAGATACATAATATAAAAATAATGCGAAAATAAAAATTTAAAAACTAATTAAATCCTATAGGCTATAAGATATTGAGTGGATCTCTTTAAAAAAATCATCCTGTATAACTAAATTGGCCATAAAAGTTTCAAGAAAAATAATGTTGTACGGGCCGCAACTCATACGTCCATCGAAAACTGCCGGGCCGTAATTCATACGTCCATCGAAAACTTCCTGGCCGCAATTGACCGGTCTCCGACATCGTAAACAACACCTCGGGCCGCAACTCACCTTTTTTATCCCTATTGTATTACATAGCATATGTATTTATTAATTATTTATTTACTTTTTACCGTATGATGGTCTTGGTTATTTTACATTTTTAGTCCAGTTATTTGTCGGTATTTAAATTTGACGTATAAAACTAATACTTCATTCCATTGTTAATCTGAAATGATATTTTTCGTTGGCATATAATAGTATTTGTTTTAGTTTTAGGAGCGACGGATCAATGTAATAGGCAATAACCTAATGATAGGTGACCTCTATTTTCTAACAGACTGCAGACTCAAGTGTTAGTTTAGTTGACTATAAAAAGAAACTGATCGAAATCGAAAGTTGAAATAAGAGTTACCAACGGACAGGAACTTCTTAACCTGCACCATGTACGGAATCAAATGGTGGATGTAACGCACTTTTGCATAACGAAGCGCCGGCGCGGTAGCCAATTGCGAAAACGGGTTTTTTCATATTATCATACAAAACGAGTCGCCAAAGACATGATTTCGATTGCCTTCGACCAGTTTTTTGTCTTTCTGTCTTGAAATGATTGACCTCTTCGATTGGGTTCAGCGAATCTCTCAGTAGGCTAAACCGTCTACCAAATATAATATTATGCATACTCCCCCAAGCTGATTGTCTAAGAAACTTTTGACTTGAGCTCTGACAACACAATATTACAATAACAGACTTGGCGATTTAATATCATGCATGATTGACGAGACTAAGCGGCATGCATCCTAACTATAATAACTGTGCATTATCTCCTGTATTCACACTTATGACTCCATAGTACAACGTTGGTGGGACGTTATCTCAACTCACCAGACGAAAGCAGCCTACTAAACATATTGAATCTTATTAAATATAGCAACGAATAGAGATCATGTATAAAGATTTCGAACAATACAAATATACCCTACTAATGACCGAATGTACAACCCGTTTTAAATCGGGCCTAAAAGCCAAAAAGGTTTAACCTCGCGTTTGCACGATGGTACACGTTTTTAAATATAATAATATACTGTTAACAGAGCTAATTTTTCCAACGATAATTATACGGGTCAGGTTATGAGTGGGATATGCATTGTAATTAATTTGACCAAAACGTTTGGAGAGGTATTTTTAAATCAAAAGCACGAAATTATTATTGCAGCAAAGAATATAATATAAAATAACATATACAAGTATTTTTTACATCATAATATCATACATCTAACCTGATTAGAATAATCTAGTAAGATTGTCATACGCACCAGAATTATGATATGCTAGCGTTGTCAGGAGTGACAATACTAAAATGAGGGAAACTTAAACATAATTGCGACTCAATAAGCATTTCTAAATTTTATGCAGTAAGAATACTTTGACCATGAGACAATGTTTTATTATTCCTGCGAAGCACAGTCTATAAAAACGGATGGGCGCCTATAACCTACCTTTCAGTCACACAGATTAGGATAGGTTGAGCAGGCCTGCTACCGCGTTAACACTGGACAAATATGTTAATGATATTATTTGAATTCTTACCTTACTACTTGCACAAGTGCACAAACGAGTTATTATTTTACCGGATATAATAATATCGGTAATTATTATCACGTTGACCTGTTACTGCGATTGGAGAGCCGTTTTTTTTAATGCTTCTTCTGTTAAGTCCTGACCGCTAGGCAAGAAACGACACGGGTAAGTGTGTAAATGACGTTTTCCAAACGGATAAACCAACACTGCTATTTGTCTTTTTCTGTCGTTTTGAAAAACGTCCACGTTGAAACCTAACCCGCGTGTAACCTCCGCGGAGGCCTAACGGCGGAGGTGTAAGCTAATTATTATTCTATTAACGAGTGGGAGATATTATCTTTGATAGCGAATCGTATTGCAACACACGTCGAGTATAGACAAGCAAAAAATTATCGCTGACATAAAAATGTATAAGAACCGGGGGAAAAAACCAAAGCCAATTGTTCTTTTCTACGGTGTGGGCATTTGAGTAAAAAAATATAAATTAACTGGTCTGTTTTGTATAGTGTTAAATAAACGTCTGTCGTCAGAAAGAATAATTGTATAACTGTGACATAATTATTTTTATCGTCCACGATAAAATACCGGGTGATCCAATTAACGCAAGACACTAATTTATTTTCTTGAAAGTAATAACAATTGTGTGGTTTTTATTTTTAAAAACATTTTTATTCATGTTAATATTGTGCAATAGTATAAAATTAGGAAATGTTAATACTTTTTGGCACTTTCAGTGTGCTATCCGCTATTAACACTTAAATTGAAACGTACCTATTTATTTAATTTACTTTTAAAATAAGCATAATTTGTTGAACATTTTGACAGGGTGATAACTAGTTTCGAATAACTACTTTTGGAGTTGCTTATTAAAGTATACGATTTTCAGAAAATTATTCTAATCTGAAATGGTCTATTTTTTCACACTGGTACCTATGATTCTATTTAAGTTTCAAAAGTCAATGGCGCTCTGGAAAAACCACATGGGATTTATATAATAACACTTAAATGTTTATGGAAAAAATATATATATACTTTATTTTATATTAACAGGAGTTTGGTTACATCCGTGACAGCCATATTTCTTTATTTATACCCGCCGAATACATTTCTATCAACTAAATATTTAATTTAAGCAACTTTATTTTAGTTGAACTAAATAAACGATTACGTTAAAATAACCATTATTCAGGAAATTTAACTACAAAATCTTGTGATTACAGATGCAACCAATGTACTATTAATGCAACAATATATTTTTTTCTTGTGGTTTGATGACGAAAAATACATTGAAGATTTTCAAAGTCAACTTTAATTTTAAGAACGCATATAAATGTATAGGATTTTAAAAGTATTTGTGGGGGATAACATTTGTAGGATTTTCAAAATAATCTGTTCGAGGGTAATATCGTCTGGCTTTTCATTGATAATGGACATTAAATTCTACCCTTACATACTACAACACATGCCTTACTGTCTGTCCTTTCATGCCTATAGAATACCTAGGCATCTACATCCCAGTTTTTACTATGAACGTGAAAAGTGAACAGAACATAAGCATAGAGTACACTGGTATGTATAAAAACATGACAATGGTCCGTCAAAGAGAGGTTTTAATTACAAAATAATATTTTTATTTTAGTTTTTAACAATATTATCTTGTCCGTGCAAGTACAGTTTTAAAAAAAAAAATCCAAAAAGCCAACAAACCACTGACACAAACTTATAAGTGCACAATAGTGGCATGTGTGCGTTATGTATTATTTTCATTTTATCAGCGACTGTCACGCGCGGCGAGCGCAAAGATATTTTTACAGCGGGCGGCGGTCGTGGTGAAGTAGCGAAAGGGGCGAAGCGGGGGAAAGACATGCCGTCGTCGCCGGGGCTGCCGCTGTTCCGATGGTCGATTATTTTCGGAACAGCTCGGCGGCCTCGTCCACAGCCGCGTCGGACGCACGCCGATCGGCTACCTCTCAGGTCGTCCGGCGATGATTAAAATATGAAAAACGCAATACAGTAATAATAATAATCAGCTCTAGCACGCAATACAATCAACAATGCGGGTCGCAGCCCGAGGGTGGGCCTCGGAATCCGTCGAGCAGCAGCACACGGCCGGGTGTAATATAACTACGATCGTTATCGTTAGCGACAAAGCGTGGCCGAGACGCTTACACGACCGGGCAGAGGAGTTAGCGACAACGACAAAGCGATAACGGCGATTAGACAAAACAACAAAACGTGCTTATACTCTACATTATTATTATTATTATTATCAATATTATCATAACAACTATTTTTTGTTTTTGTTTTTGTTACGTACCTCTCTGCTAAACGGTCGTTTATAAATACGAGGAATTGATATAATATAATATAAATTATGTATAATAATATAATATGCGAGACGGACAGTGATACTACTACTATCACCAAACGAAAATCAAGGAAAATAACGTAAGAAAAACGATCGTGTTATATAACTATTATGAAAACACCCGTTGAATTGTCGGAATATCGCGAGGCGGCGCGTCTCATCGGGTTTACAAATGAATAGATAACCCGTCAAAATAACAATATTTATGTTCTACGTTAATTTCGTTTCGGATAACGAATAGAATAGTAATAATAATAATATGAAAAAACTTCACGGTGTGTCTCTTTCTGTATAATATTGTGTGTTGTGTCTGTGTACGCATGTGTTTTGTTTTTGTCGGCGGCGGCGGGCGCGTGCTTTGCTACAGAAGTGACACTACTACTGCACCACTACTAGTGACCGGCGGCGATAAGCAATGTGTGAGTTTGTGTATGTGTGCGCGCGGAACGGCAGATTTTACCCGAGTCTAGTGTACGGCGGCGCGAGCGGCGTTTCGAGCGCCCAGCCCCCACTTCTCGTCCCTGCCGATCCCGCATTTCTCTCCTCGATCGCTCTACGATCTGTGGCGGGGCCGGAGGGGACCGCGCATTCGCCTAGCCGTACTCGACGTTGGTCGTCGCACGACTGCCAACCGTACGATACCGCCGGCGTTTAGTAACAAATACCAAAAAAAAAAACGCTAATAATATATCATCTTCGATAATCTCAATGAGCCTATTAACCACTGCGGCGGCGACAAAAACATGTATTCAAACGGTCCACGTGGCCGTATAATTCAAATGCCGGTTGGGGCGTCCTGATAAAAAACCGAGACACCTCCGGCGGTTACGGCTGTTGCTGCCCGTAGCGTTGATGACGACGGTAATGATAACGATAATAATCATTGGTATAAAAATGTAATTATTAATACCGGCCACCACGACGGGATATACGGTCGTGTCTAGACGTCGCGCTACCGTGTGTTTGCGGTGCGTGCGATGATGCGGTACCGCCAGCACAGCTCCCGCGACAGGACGCGGTTAGAAAGGTCACACGCACATCAATGTAACGGCCGCACCGTGTGTGTGTGTGCGTACACAATAATAATAAAAACAATAAAATACCTAGTATATGGCGGCGCACGCACGCGATTTACAATCACATCCCCGAGAGCTTCTTTTTATTGCTCCACGTTTTATGAATTTTTTTTTTATTTTGATATCCTCTGCGCGTTAATCCCCGTCGCGTTTTTCTGTCTTAACCCTTCGCCGCCGCCGCCAACACCACGCCCGTCCTTTATAGTGAATGCCAGTGTTTGTGTGTGTGTGCCGCGTTCCACCGCCCGCCCCAACGTCTACAAAACCGTCTAGACGATACGTCACCGCTTGCTCGGCGGCGGTTGCGTCACACCGCGGTCGACACGTGGCCAATGTGACCAACGGGGCCGTTGCCGCCGCCAACGACGACGACGACGACATCGTCTCCGATCGATAGCGTGTGGTACAGTCGTTGACTGTACAGTCCGTTGGACACATACACGTACAAACGAACTCGCGCGTGTAAAGCTCCGCTGCGGCGGATGAAATCAGACGGACGCGCCAATGCTGAATGTGTAACTATAGAGAAGTACGACGCGGAAGTAGCGGCGGGAAAGCTAGAGGCGGCTGACGGGGGGCGCGCTAGGGTGACGCCGGCAGAGTCGACGCGGAAGGATAGGTTTTATGGAAAACGGCGAGGGGAGGGAGGGAAACGCAAAAGAAAAGAATAAATAAATAACGGCCAGTACGACCGTGTATGGACACAATAATAACATTAACACTATTTCGCGCGCGCCGTGTACATAATATATGTTATTATTGTGAATTATTTTGCGTTACCTACGTTAATATTTACTTACATTCGAGTACATAGTTGTGCGGCAACTCGAATGGTACAAAAATATTATCGTTATTTACATTTAATATACATACAAGCCGGATGGCTTGCCGCTATGTTCAACCGACGACGACAACAACAACAGCAACAATAATAATAATATGCCGGAGAACATTGCTCGGCGTATGTACACTTAGTGTGTATTCGATAACAATATACATATATATTATGTATGTATTTACATACGTTGGTCGCCCACAAGTCACAACTGCACCGGTATGTGTTATCGTCTGGGTGCACTAACGGTACATTATCGAGCCCCGGCGGGACCAGTGACCGGGCTGCACGCACTTGCATTTGCAAACATAATTTCCAGGCTTTGTCAATAACAGACGGATGTAGGTACATGATTTGCCTGGGAAAAACTCGACAGTTTGATTTTCACGGATGGGAATCATTAGCGAACTTGGCATGTTCATCTAAAACGAAGATAAAAGAAAAAACTAAGTAAATAATTTACCAATCTATAAAAACGCCTACGTTTGTGTATTTAGTGGCGTACTTAAGGAGGTTGTTGAGACGAATATCTCTCGACCCGAAAAAAATGACGAAGAAGTATATTGCTGTGTAAAAATAATAAACTCATGTTTACAATTATTAGTTTTACCTAAAAGTAGGAATTCATTAAATAATGACAATGTAAGAGAATTTGTTTTTACTTAGTAGATTAGAAAATAACAATATAACATAAATTAATACTGTCAGATGTCAAAGAAAAAAATGTCTAGAATAATTATTTTGTTAGTATAATTTGTTTTTATAAATAAATATTTGTTACATTTTTTTATAGACTTAGTGGTTACAATTAGTCTTAACGTAATAAAAAACTAAACAACTTAGTTAAAGAAATTGCACATTGGGGGTTTATTAGTGCATATACATTATATAGGTTGAATTGCCTAAATGTATGCATATTTCGGTGGTTTTAACAGCATAACCTACTTCCGGGCCCTAATTATCACGCTTAAGTACTGTCGAAATCTACATTATATTAACCAAATTGGCTAATTAAGTATCTATGGTAATGTATAAAAAATAAATGTATATTTATTATTTAAGGACTTAACTTTCAATTACATCAAATTTGAGAAAGTGCTATAAGGTTACAAATGATTTTTTATACAAGATTTGGGAGATATAAAAGCAAAATAACATATATAATTACATAATATATTTCTTTGTAAAGACCACCGAGGCTGCAGACTGCTGAGGTTAGTGGACTGTTCAAAATAATATTTAAAATGTATTATAATTATATCATATTAAATAATATTTAACTTTTAATACAGTTTAAGGATAAAACTGATAGATATTAAATCTTAATATTTAATCCCTGTACTTTATACTTAAACTACTGCATTAATTAAAGAAAAAAAAGTTTACTACCTAGTATCTGAAACCACAATCTTCGTGTTTGTTCTTTTGTTATTTAATTTATTACGGGTTATTTACTTCGTTAAAAAAATGTATACATATTGTTAAAAAAAAATTGGCTAATTTTTAAAATAAAATAATTAATTACACAACAATCGCCTACAAAAAAAAAACTATTAAGTTTTTGTAAGTAGTTGGTTTCTCATTAGATCCAGAGACCAGATATGGTTTCAAGTACTATATTGTTGTACCTCTATTCGATTTTATAGTCTGTTTAGCACGGGAGACTGACTAATCTGCACACAAACCAAAACGTTTTACTTTTAAAATTAAAATCAGAATGCAATCTATCGTTATATAGTATTTTTTGATTACAAATTAGTTATCACCCATTGGTATACTTTTTTTATTGCGTATTATAAAAGATAAAAGCTCATAATCTACAATGTACAAAGAATAAAAGCAATATTTCAGATATTGCTATAGATATAGGATTTCTAAAAAAAGTACTAATCACTAATCATAATGTTAAACAAAAAACTGTGTACGGGTCCTTTATAAATAAGTGTGTATAGACAAACAAAAAAAAAGTACAAAAGCAATAGGCACTGTCTTACTGGAATAGCTTCAATGTTAAAAATTAGTTATTTATTAGTTTATTCGTTACTAAAAAATAATTCATAAGTTTGCAAATATTAATAAAAAAATATTAAGTTATTAAAAAAACCAAGACGGAAGGTTTCATTTTAAAAATGTTAATTTTTAGGTTTTGGCTTTAGTTGAATATTTGTATTATTATTGTTGTTCTTTTTTTTAAGGAAAACTAAGTCGTTCAACCGTAAATTTATAAGTGGATGTAAGATTATTTTTTCGAATCTAAAATATCAAAACATTTCAATAAGAATATATATACATTATACATATTAATATATTGCAACACCAACACGACGCGACGTTTACAATAGTTTGTATGGAAAAAAATGCGCTTGTACACAACAAAGCACACTCCACTCACACGATGAAATCGGTCGACTGTATAGATAATTTCAACATAATTAAAATATAAACATGTGTGTGTTGGTAATAGCATTGTTATATTTAACCCAGCAAACATTTGGATTGGGTGGAATGGTTGAAAAAGATAAAAGTTCATTCATCTGGAATTCGCCAAGCGTTTAGGGAACATTTTAATTTTTCTTTTTACTCAGTTAACTCTAAAAAAACAATATAAACTATTTCATAAATTTTGTATGTATAAAAAAAATGGTTTATAAATTAAAATGACTCTTTGGTACAGTTCCCTGGAAATTAATATCCCGCGAGTCATTTTTTTATACAAAAATACTGTTATTTAAATGCGTTGCAAACAAATGTTGTTTTGTTATTTGTTAATATATTATGACTATTGCGATTTTATCTTCATATTAGGTTTTATTTGAAAATTGCTTATACTTATACTAAAAACCTTAGAATTTTTTATTTAACCCTACAACAACTAATATTTACAAATAATAAGTTATTTGTCATACTTTTTATAACCATTTATTTGGGATTGGATATTTGTTCAAATAAAAATTACAGTCTATCTTTAATTTTTATTTAAATACATGTTTATTTGTAATAATTATTTGTATTTGTATTTCAATAAAACAATTTTTGAATAATGTCCAAATTTGCTTCAAATCTCAATAAATAGGTTCAAATATTTTTTTGTCACCACCCTAAACTACCCACTTTCTTATGTTGTTTATAAAAATATCATTGAGGACTACTACATAGATGCAATATGTACCTAATTTTTGGTACAATCTGGGGACGGCTATGAAAGCTTCATTACACTTGGAAAAATATATTTTTAATGGAATTTAGCCTCATGGTTGTCAACAATGTCATACATTTATGACATAGATAAAACCGAAAAATTAAAAAATTGTATGTCAATCTATAAAAGCTTCAACACGTTCATAATAATATATTGCTGTAGAAAATCCTCGTGTTTGCACTCTGATTACATTTGAATTTTTTATTCTTTATTTGAGGCGTCTATTTTCAATAAAAAGTATAAATCGTTTTTGAAATTTTTCACAAACAAAAAAAA